TTTTCTTTTTTACTTGACCGTACGCATCTTTTCTGTCGTTTTGTGACTCTATGATCTCGAGAACCAAAAATCGTAGAAACCTCATTTAAACGCAAGATAGTAGTATCGAGATCGAACTGCTTACACCTGTTTTCGAATCTTTAATCTGACGTTCCGTTCGCTCACAAATGTGGTTCCGAAATGACGAAAATGAAAGAAATTTATCAAGAGATAATTAAAGTGACGTCATGAACATATGTTAGCCACTATAGTCTATTCATTTACAGCTGATTTCAGATAATGAATCATGAACATAATTAATCGATCAATCGAAATCGACCCCTAAGAATGTTTCGCTAAGTAAGAATAGAGTTTTCTCAGTGATGAATTTCATCATGTCGCCATAAAAAGTATTCAAGATTTCTCTGAACTGTAGATTTTTCGTGAACACCTGATTCAAGCTTCGCATCGCATTTCGTATTCGAGTAAAACTTGAATACCATCTAGTTAATAAATAAAACTAGCTCTGTTTCACTTAAACTGTTGCTCTCTAAATTTTATGAACGTCTTTGATTATTTTTCGGGATAGATCTTGGTGAAAGGATCAGAGCAAAGTTGAAATGATTCGTTCACATGGACTTCTAAGAATTTGTAACATTTACTACAATTAGCGCTATAAATAAGGAAATAACAAGATAATAAAAGGAGTAACTTTGAATCTAATAGTTCATCATCTCGAGAATATATGTCAAAGTTTTTACTAAAGATTGTTTTTGTGCCTTGATACATTTAATTTTTTAAAAGATTTACTTTTCTAATATTTTATATGTATCGATGAATATTGAATATTCGTATTAACATCATCTATTCATTTAGTATAAAAAGAAATAGTTTTTCGTCTCTGCACATTTCGTAAAACCGCTGTGTCTTTCTAGAAAAGAGATATAGTGAAACATTTTCTCAAACTTTAATTCATTGTTCACAAATTTTCTCTAGCCTAATAGAACAAAATTATATTTCACAAAATAACTAGAACAGCTCGATTTTTACCTTTTCATTAATATTATGCACAGAGCTTTCAATTGTTTCGCTCTTAGTAGCATGTACTATGAATAGTTGAGACTTTCAGTTGCGTAATCACAAAGAAGTAAAAAATTCTAGTAAATAGGTAAAACTATTGTTTAATCGAAGTTCTTGCTGCAAGAACGAGGTTAAACTTCAAGTTATCATATTGAAGTCATAGAACAAGAAATTTTCGTCCTATGATTAAATTATAGTTAGTTAGTTTCTGTCACTAATTTTCGGATGCAGATTCACAGGAGAGCAAAGATTAGTTTTTTAAACAAATATTTTGTTTCTTCTCAGGCATCAGTAAGAATCTTTGATAATGGTATATAAGTAACAAAATAATGTATGTATCTTTCTTTCGCTCAGTACTGATAGAAGGCTTGTAGTTGACAAAATTGCTTCTGATCTTAAACTTTGAGAACAACACACAATAACATACATGTCTATCTTCTCTATTAGCGCTTCGTCTGACATAAATAATCGAACGAACAATATCCAACAGTCTTCATTCCCCGATCATATAATGCGAAGGCATGAAGAAATTAACAATGACACAACTAAATCATTGATCAACAGCATAGGTAAATAATTTATCATCTGTCGTACTAATTAGCTTTAACCTTTTTATATGGTAATCATATTTTTTTTTTTATAAAAGAACGAAGTGAAATTTCATCGCCATTATCATATACATACGTAAATAGCATAGAAATTATCTGCAATCTTGTTTCTTGCACACAGACCAAGGTTTCATGTAAATGTTAGTCAATTTTGTTACGTGTTTCATTTTTGTTAGATCACGAAAAATGTCGAATTCATTAAAAGCTAAGCCACTGTTACTTCTATCAAGGATGTAACTTCCAATAAGACTATTAGAACTATCTGCAAATGCTCGTTCTCGTGCGAATACCATCCTAAAGTGCATCAATATTGAAGTGTAAGCGGAAAATGTGTTGATGTTTGCAAAAGATAGTCTCTTTCTGTTATCGACTAATGAAAAAAGAACGATCGATACGATTATGAAATTTTCTCAACACTACTGTTTCGTTATTCATACGTATAACTACACACCTCGACTACATTGATGTTAACATATACATTATAGCTTCAAATAATATTTGTTTTTTAAATGAAAATGGGCTTTCATCGAGTAAAAATTTTGAATATCAACAATAATGATGAAGATTGACTGAATTCAAGTGATTTCTAAACAAAACGACATTTTTAACATTGATATAATTAATTAAAACCATAATGTTCTAATTTTATTTTCATACAATATTCTCGAAATGAATTTTTTTATTGCTCTAAACTTGATCAGGTAGACATGATTCGTACAAGAGACTGATCGAAATTTCACCTGACTCGTTAAGTATTCAATATGGTCAGACCGAACGAAAACCAACTTATTGGTTCTCTCGATTTCGACAATGCCTCAAGAGCACTACTGGTTACAGCTTGGCCTGTATCATCGTATTCAATGTTTTTGTCATTCTCCTCCTGATTCTTTTTTTCAGTAAGTTGATTGACTCTCGATCGAAATCAATTGAAAAATAGCTATCTTTTATTTATCCGTTTCATTATACATAAGAGAACAGAAATGACTCTTTATCTTATACGTTGAAAAAGTGCAGTAAAATTAAGATAGAGTGAGATCAAGTTAGAAAAAATCAACATTTTAAAAGTCTATTTTCATTTTTCTTCCACTTATTAATAATGAGATGATATCAAAAGTAATTCGATCTCTTGAAGTTTGGCATTACTTTCTCGATAAAAATAAACATAGATTGAAACACTCACAGGAGAAATCAAAATTAGAGACTTAAACAATCATCTTGTTGTATATCACGATAATAAGTAATTTTTAGAATTGGTCTACTTAGAGATAATCAAAATAGTACGTAAATAAAAACTCAAAAAATATCTAGAAAATCAACATTGATAGAACTTCTTTCTAGAAACTTCACTTTATCTTATTATAAAACTCTACCGATGTTCCAGAATCTGTAATCTCGCTGATCTAAATTCAGTTTTTGTTTTTCGAATAAAGAAACTTTGAAAACAAGAAACAATCTAATGAAATCATACAGATCATAAAATGTTCTTTGTTATTAGAAAATTAATCGAATATTTTATTCTTGCTCGTTCCAAGGTATGCATTTCAAATCCGATAAAGTTGAATTGTGGGGGCAATGTGACGGTGTCGAATTCACAGTACGACGCATCTGTGTATATCAAACAACTTGTTATGCACGAGACATATTATATTGGCAAGTAAGCTTATAAATTAAATCTTCTTTTCTTCAACATTGAATAAAAATCCTTGGTATTGCAGTGTCGTCCTGATGGTAATTGTCCAAAAGGTAAATTCATTCTATGGTGAGACAATACGATAGAATTTTCTTTAATACAGACTGGATATGTGCCCAGAAATCGTTTTCTACAAACTCATCGGTGTCTTTGGAAACTCTTAAGGAAATTTTGACTACAAGAGCTTCAAAGATGAATGAACCTCTTAATTGGATGCAATCAATCGTCGATATGGCGAAACTGCTAGGTTTAGATTCTCGAGAACATAGGTTGGCTCAACTTGCCATTAAACTTGGCTTCAAGGGTGACATGAGGGATGTTTATCATATGCATATTTGGTTGCTCAAAAAACTTATGGAAATACTGGCACAAAATGGCGGTTATCTTCCGAGTGAATTTTACGAGTCGTGATATTTTAGATGTGAGTACCTTCTCATGTGCAGTTGTTGTTGTTGTTGTTGTTGTTTAATTGGGAAATCAAAGAGCTAGATTATTTCAATTCAGCTTAGACCAACATAGACATCATAATCGTTTTTGTTCGACACGATGTTGTGAAACATGGCTATTCTGACTTGTATAGAGATGTTATCATTCATTTTGTCTTCGTGTTGTTAACTTCTACGTTTACTCACGTTTCTTCCCTTTTGCTATCGTGCATTACACAATTTTGTTTTTATTATAACATATTTCTCGGTATAGCCACAGTACTAGTTTTTATTATACTTACAATTATGTTTTGCAAAGCTTTAATGTCAACAAAAGCCAGTTAACACGGCCAACCAGCTAGTTCAATCTTATAAAAATCGTGGTCATTCATACTTTGTAAAATGAGATTGTCAAATTTATTGAATTAATTACTTTAAAAATACCAAATAAATAAAATAAAAAAAAATCGATATTCAAAACACTTTTTTGCAGTTGATGAGAGCACTCTAGAATTTGATCACTTTCTTAAATTTTGAGCTACGCGATTCGAATATGTATTATAGTTTATTATTGAAATTATTCAATAAATTTCTATATCAGTCACTTCTTTGAAAAATAATGATAATTTCTACAAAGAAAGACTTCCATTGCCACTGTATTAATAAAAACAATAGCTGGATTACAGGAGACTCAGATTTTCCTTTTTTTCAAAAGCAAGTATACTATTCTCTATCATTCTGAGTTTTTGTCGATCTTGCTAAAGAAAAAGAATGTATATTTTTATTTGAACTAATCTATAAATAAACTGATGTAAAGTAAATATGTTTATTTTTACATTCATAAAGGTATATATCAAAAGTTTTCAACAAGGTGTTGATAAATAAATATTTCCACGTGCTGACTTTTCCGAAACTTGAACTTCATAATGTTTATCTCTGTGTTTGTTTTTATTTTCACGAATAACTGCTATTTGCTCGCGTATCATTGGGTATGTGCAAACAGTATTAATTCGTTCATAAATAGCTTCCAAATTGTCTTCTGGCGGATTTGATTGTATTTTTTTCATCTGTTCTTTGTGCGAGACAATGAGTTCGTCTAATTCTTTTACTAATGCTGAATTTAAATGATTTGACTTTTTCTGTACACATATCTGTTTCTCTTCTTCGATAATGCCTAGTAAACCAACTAAGAAAGGATCTTCTGTTGTTGAACGAGCAACATTTATGAGAAAATAAGCGAAATCAATACTCGCAAAGTTCATTCGATTAATTAGATCGTTCATTTGATTTTGTTCATAATTCGATGCATGATGAAACACTTTATATTTGAGCTTATAATCGACAGCGATATGCTGATTTTTATGACACGAACATACGAGGCATCTATTTTGATATTCATGTATATTATCGGGCATAATCCAAAAATTACCGGCTTGAATTGGATGTCGTTGACACGAAGTGCATAACTTGCTTGAACGTGGGACAGGTTGTGGCCATAGTACAATAGACTTGTTCGGTGAGTCCATATCCCATAAGATAAAATTTCGAAGAATATTTCTCATCGCTTCTAATATGGGACGAATCAATCGAACAATTTCAAATTGAGCATGCTTGACAGATTGCCATCCATTATGCAAAGAATACGGATGTAATTCCTTGCAAACATAATTTAGGAGTCGATTCGATTCATCTACTGATTTCGACCAACTCATGAAATATTCTTCGTTTTCTTGGCCATTAAATCGAATCCCATTGTGTAAAGCAATTAAATATCGAGATGATTCGCTATCGAAAAAAAATGTATTCGCTTTTTTGAATGGAATATCACGAATTGAGAGTGAATCCAGCATAGATCGAAGTAGCGGAGCTGTATCGCCGGATGTATAAAATGTTGAACGAGCATTAGTAAAACAAAATAGAATGTTTTGACTAGCATTTGGGCCCAATAGATCAAATAATTGAGTCAGACATGTTCGAAAAGACGTATGAAGCCGTGTCGCATTTGGTTTAAGAAGAAAACATATAGCATCCAAATGTGTTAAATCGCGTGTACATTCTAAGATATGTTGTATGTTAATATCATCTTGATCCAAACCTCGCGTATCACCAAAACCAGGTGTATCAATGATACGTACTTTTTTTCCAATAATATGATTAAGAGCAAAAACATAAGATCGACAGCGTTGTGTGACCGATTGACCTGGATGATTGAAATCTTCAGTAGTTGTACTATCAAACTTGCCAAATGTGATTTTATGTTCTTGAAAATTATCTCCCGTTGTGATAAGAAATGACACAGGAATAAGTACGGTAGGTTTATTTGATTTAGCTTGTTCAAGTGTATTAAATGTGAGATAATTGGCAAAAGCATTGATAAACGTAGATTTACCAACTCCACTCTCACCAATAAGAAGAATATTAATGAAATCATCTTTTTTTTGTGTAGATGATGGCGAAATCCTAGCTTTCCTTGATGGTTCACGAAGCATTTTTTCGTTTATTTTCTTATTGAACGGTAATATTATCATGTCATGCAAGTCGAATGGACAATATGAAAAATCAGCATAGATGAGTTGCAAATTTCGGTTCGTTTTACGTTCTTTAAGTATTTCATTACGTAGCTTATTTAATTTCGATTGCTTGGCATTATTTAAAACATCATTCGAACAAAGAATACGAACATGTCGATTATTATTAATGAGAGCATTCTCCAATAAAAGTACACTATCTGCTAAATCTAATTCTTGTTCAGCAACATTGAAATATTCAAAGTATTGTCTTTTCAAATGATCAATAAAACGTGCTTTAGGTTCTAAATCTTGTAAATATTGACTTAATTCATTGACAAAACTATTCAATTCAAGTTTCAATTCATTTCGTAACTTTTGATTCAATAAATCATTGCGATTATTATGGAGTAAAGTAGAAATATGTTTCATATCATTCATATATTTATGCATTACCTTCATTTGTAGTTGTTGTGCCTTGCGAAGTCGTTCTTTGAGACATCCACGCAATAGGTATGGTAAATCATGATTGATCATGACATCGAAATTTTTTAGTCTAGTTGCTAATTCAAGAAAATATTGATCACTATTTTGATTCACAACTGTTGACCGAGGAATCAGAGTAAATCCAGAACCTTCATTTTGAGGATAATTCCATCGAATATGTTGAAATTTCGGCATGATTTGTATAGCGATGGTATAATCTATATGTTATTCTATTGAATAAAAACAAAACAAGTTTAGAAATAGAAAATTTTGGAGTACAAAAATGTTCGTAAAAAGATTACTCCTGGAGCTGTACTCATAGTAAGTAAGTAATTAAATTCTTTCTGTTCAATTATCTTAATTGAAATTCCCTTTTTCTAAATTAGATAAAAATCTATGAAAGTAATCCTTGTCGGATTAAAACAAAAAACATACACATACGACTATTATTAATAGAAAGTTACATGTCATGAATCGATATAAGTTCGACTCTTTGGCATGGATTAAGTCATCAGGCAGCATCGAAAGCAATTTCTTGCCTAGAGCTATTTAACTTTCCTACACACTAATAAGAAGTTTTGTTAAAAAGTATACAATTGATTTCACTTTCGAGGCTCCGCCGAGAGCTGTCTACAGGAAGAAACCGTAAAAAAATCTTGTTCTTTAATATGAAATAGTTTTTAATTTGAGTCTCACAAAAATATGATATGAACTTAACATTGTATTAGTAAACATTCTGTACGAAATTTCGCTTACATGACTGATTATTTAATGGGTATTTCTATCGACTGAAAACAATAAAACGTTTTCATCAAACTTAATCAAGTTTTACTTTTATTTCGATACAGAATATGAATTTAATTATACATCAATTAAAACAAAAAACGTCTCAATTTATATCATTGTTGATAGTATAATATATGTATATTTATTTTAAAAGTCACTCTTCTATTTGTTAATCGTATAAACCACATTCAATCTTACCTTCACGCTGCCAATTTTTGCATTCTGTGTTATTATTTTAACAGCTTCGAAATAAATGCTGTTTTACAGTATATTTGATGTGGCTTACTAGTAAATAATTTTTCTTTTCTTTTGAAGACAAATAATGACGAAGAAAGAATAAACGAAACCGCAGATGTGCTCGAAAACAACTTAGCAGAATAATGAAATTCTTAATAGGTAACAGAAAAAATACACATTTTCCTTGCACTGATCAAGTAGGCGTCTAAATACAGTCAACCTTGGTTAGACTGTTTTTATTGAAACGAGAAAAAAAATGAAACTTGAAGGTGCATCATTCAAAATTGACATTAAATTTATTACTGAAGAGAAATAAAAATTGATAAAAAAAAATCGTTTCGTATCTATTGAATTTATGATAGTCTGAGGTAATGACAGAAAAATATTTTCTAGTCAATATATCAGTATACATTGATCGAATGAACCACTGAACAAAATAATTCTTCTAATGGAATTTTATGCAATGGCAAGTATTTTTTCAGTTTCGTCATATAATCTATGTTATCATTATTGACTTAACGCAGGTCAAAGTATATCACTGAAATATTTCGAGATGAAAAAAACTGTTATTGTAATTTATTTACAGTTCAAATATAAAATAAAATCTGCCTAATCTTCTTTTAAAAGAAAGGATTCATCAACGTACGTTTTTGTTTATCGATTAGCAGCCAATGGCGAAGATGAAGTTTATCATACGTCACTACTAAGGTATCTGTCAATCTATGAAATATTAGAGACGTTTGCTACGCTTCTCTTCTTGCCTATGATATACTGTTACTAAGATACTTGTGATGTCTAGTGCGAAAGATATGTCGAGTAGTCAAGAGTATGCTTCAATTCGTGTGAACTACAATAGTATCTGATACAACAATTGATAAATACATACTGCAATACAGAATATTTCTTACTAATAGAAAAATTGTACTCATTTTACTGGAAGGAGGTAATGTTTAATTTTATATTCTTATAGTTCAAGAATCCTTTCAGATTGAGTTTCTTATGAAAAAAAACAATCAATGCTTGAATGAAGTTCTATCGCAATTTTTTTAACATCTCACTAAATATGAAAAAAAAAACAATAAACATATTTTTGTATAATCATCACCGTACGTGTATTTTGCTAAGATGTTTCGCTCTTTTTTGAACGTAAAAAATTAAAACCTTCGTCTAAAAAAAAGCGAAAAGGCAACTAGAAATTCGGGTAAATGAAGATAGGGCAAACGAGCGACATTTCTCCTTATTACAAAATAAAAATGTTGCACTGTAATCGCTTACACATACGTTTTTATTAGATTATTGTCTTAAAACAGCTTTTTTTATACGATATTTTTTCATCGTAAAAATACATCAGAGAAGTCAGCCTTCAGATACTTCATATAGTTCTGTCATCATTTCTTGTGTTTGTTTCATAATTTCAAGTTGTTTTTCTATCATAGGATATTTACGAATAGTTGCGATTCGTGTATCGATATTAGACAAATCAGTTAACTGTTGATTCGACAACAAATCTTTCATTCTTTTTTCATATATACATTGAATTTCTATCAGATTTTTGACTTGCTTTACATTCAGATGATTTGATGTTTGACTTTCACAAAGTTTATTTTCTTCGTCTATGATTCGCTCTAAACCAGATAAAAACGGACTGCTTCTCGACGCATGAGTAATACGAACAAGAAAATAATCGAATTCAGCGCCAACAATAGCAAGTTGACTTGCCATATGTATCATTTCTTTTTGCGTCGTACGCACAGGTGCATTCGAATATTCATAATTAATTACGTAGTTTATTGGAATATGCTTGTCAACAAGGCAATTACAAGAAAGGCATTTCTTAAGAAATTCATGTGGGATATTCTTAGCAATCCAGAAGTTACCCACGAGAATAGGATAAGAAGCACACGAAAGACAAATACTAGCTGGGCGATGAATAGCTTTTGGAAGCATTTCTATTGATTTGTTCGTAATATTCATCTCATATAAAATATTATTTCGAAGAATATTCTGCATTACGTGTAGCATGGGACGAATCATATGATTGATTTCAACTTGAGCGCGCTTGATCGATTTCCATTCGCTATCCAATCGACATTCAATAAGGGTTGTCTGAATATATTCAATGAGACGATTTGATTCCTTAGCTGAAGTTGACCAACTCATTTCATAATCATGTTTTTCGTCATTACTAAAATCGATTCCATCTTGTAAAGAAACTAAATAACGAAATGATTCATTATCAAAACAGAATGTATTATCTCGTTTGAACGGAATATCATTCATTGAAAATGATTTGAGTAAATTTTTAAGCAACGGAGCTGTATCTCCTGGGCTATAAAACGTTGAACGAGCATTAGTAAAACAAAAAATAATATTTGTATGAACATTTGGGCCAAGCAAATCGAGTAATTGAATGAAACACATACGAAAAAATGTATGAAGTTTTGATGAATTTGGTCTGAGAAGAAAGCAGACGGCATTTAAATGTGCAAGACTACTAATATATTCTAAAATATCTTGCATATTGAGATCATCCTGATCTAAGCCACGGGTATCGCCAAAGCCAGGTGTATCAATAATACATAATTTTTGTTCATCGCTACCAGACAAATGAAACTCATAGGTTCTACAATGTTGTGTAACTGATTCGCCAGGATGTTCGAAATCTTCATTGTTTGAAGTGTCATAATCTCCAAACTTGACTACACGTTCTTCGAAATTATTACCAACTGTGATTAGAAAAGAAACGGGTATAAGTACAACAGGGGTGTTCGATTGAGCGTCTTCGAATGTTTTGAATTTAAGATAATTAACAAATGCATTTATAAAAGTTGATTTTCCAACTCCAGTTTCACCAAGTAGAAGGATATTAATTCTACTATCAGGTGTTGTGGAAGTAGGAGTTTTGCTTTTCGTAGGTTCAGTAGATGGTTTCTTCTTTGTTTTAATATCGTTTCGATTATTCGTCTCAGGTGTCGTTATTATTTCCATATCTTGAAGTTCAATAGAAGTATACGAAAAATCAGCATACGTTAGAGATACGTTTTGATTATTTAAAACATCTTGTCTTAGTCGAGCACAATGATTATTTAACTTTGCTTCATTCTTCTTATTTAATTTATCATTCGTACAGAGAATTAAATTGTTTTCATTTTTCTTCTTTAATTTAGTTCTTAATTTATTTCTATAATTACTTTTAGTTAAATTAAGTTCGATTGCGTTGCAATATTCAAAACGTTGTTCTGCGAGTTTGCTAATAAATTGTTCTTTTTCTGTAAGAATATCAATATTTTCTTGCAAACTCGCAGCTTGTTTTAGGAAATCATCATGGTCTGAATGTTGAAACAATTGATCTTTTTTTGAATTAGATGTTCGACCTTTACGTAGGTCAATTATCCATTGCTGTATTCGTTCAATAATTTGATTGTGAATCTTCTCTAATTTTTGTAATTTACATTGCTTTTCACGTATCTGAATTTCAAAGTATTGATAAGAAACTGCATTGTAAAAAGAAGCAAGATGATGTTTTATAGTTTTAACTGTGTTAGATAACGATACTAAATATTGCTCAATGTCTGTGTTTAGCGCTGCAGGAATAGAAGTAAACTTGGCATTCATTTGAAGATCTCCAGTATATAACCATTTTTTGGACTGAAGAATGTACGTGATCGGTTGATAGATACTTTCATTTTTATGTTCATTAATGTATAAACAAGCATCACGCACAGTAAAGAGTGTCATTAAAGAAGGTATGTTAGAATAAACCATAGTGTCAGTTATTTGTCCTAGAATATTTTCGTCGTCGAGATTGAGTTCGAAAGCAGTTTCCTCATTTTTTAACTGAAAACAAATTCTTTGAAGCACTTCGTCGATTTTTGTCATGATTTCGCTTTCCGATGGTAATCGTAAAACTATAATAACATCAATTCCTTTACTGACACCAGTTATTATGTGAGTAGCTGACGCTGGGATTCGTAATGATTTAGACATTTTTCGTGATTGTTTTAGTTTGTCGGAAACTTGTTCTTCTTTATATGTATAAGAATAAAGTAAATAGCGTGTATATTCATTTACTGGATACGGATAGTTGACAAGTGAAGCAATCCCTTTAACATGTACTAACCCCGATAAGATACTCAAATGTAAGCCTTCAGGTTTATTAATTACGTGAAGAAAATTTCCATTGTGATATTTGCTACCATTCTTTAATATGCATTCTGTCTTTTGAAGTATTGAAGTCACAGTATCTTCGCTGTTCCAAGCAAGTTCTTTCTGTATCCGATCCCTATATCCATCATAGAATGAACCAATGGTCCCAGTTGAATCTATTGCTGCTACTTTAATCGGATCCAATCGTTGAAGTTGATCAACTTTCTGTAGCTTTCTTTCTGCCATATTACTAATGATTCGATGGTACTGTTCACCACAACGATAATGAACTAAATTGAATGAGGTTTAGTAAGAAAGTGAACTCAACTCAAGAGAACAATCAAAAATAGGTTTCCAATGAAAAACGCAATGCTACAGTCGTTATTTTTCTAAAAGCGTTCTTTAGAAAAGACAAATTTTATGCCTATAAATTCATTTCATACACTCATAAAAATCTGAGAATTCTCAGATTCATCGAATACGAGAACAAATCAATAACAAATTTCGCACTGTCAAATGTTGCTTTCGACGAGTATTTCTCGTGTATTTACACATTGTTAAAGTTGAATATCAAATGTCTTTTAAAAACTATAGCTGCTAGTCGAAAACTATTGTTGAATACAATATTTTATTATTTCTAAATTGTTTTATTGTTCTCAATCAAAAAATCGTAGAGAAATAGTTGATTTTTTTCTAATCTTTATATTTTAACAGTTGAAAAGCTTCCTATACGATAAATTTATTATTTCCTACCTTTGTGTGTATTTCTCTTTTCTCTAGTAACCGTGAGAACAATTCTGTTCTGTTGATATAACAGAATTTATGTTATGTGTAAATGTGTTTTTCGTTTCCATTTTAGAGAAAGAACGAAAAGAAATAAAAGCAAAGGGTAGTAATTCTATTAAGAAGCCTCTAAAAGAATGATCGAAAATTCATTTTCTCATACAGAAAATGGCTATTATTGTTCGATGAAGTAGAACACTTCGTTGTGCTCCGATTCAGTTGGAATCGAATAATTGCAAGTTTTTAATGTTGTTGTTGAAGAAAGTTGCATCCTCTCATATTTTCTATTTATCATTACATGAATGTGTCTAATGAGCTTTTATCAAAGAGCGAATCACTTGTGACAATAAAACCATTTTTGAGATTACAATTTTCACAATAGAGAACTTCTGTTAATTATCAGAAAAAAAAGTTTCCCCAGAATATGATGAGTCGAGAAGAATACTTTTATTCAAGAGAAAATGTTCAGCGGCCAATAGAAATTTTCGCATATTTTCATACTCAATATTTCATGTCGAATAACGCAAATAAGACTTTCGATAAAAATAAGAATGAGAGATACTATTTATTAAGCGTTTTTCTTCCTCTGAGTACGCGTAATCTAGTGCCAAAAGTTGAATCTCAGAACAGTTTGATTACCTTATGAAAATTCTTCGAATGAGCCTTTGGCATTCAGAAGAATGATTTGTTTTTCGTTTTCCCTACGATTGAATTCTTATTTGCATTTGTATTGATAGAGATAGAAGAACAAATTGACTTGTTTAGTATTATATGTAATTCTGGTATATTTAAAATAAATTATGTATGCAATTAAGATTGTGATCGATAGTATTTTATTTTAAGAAAATTCACAAATTAATACAGAACAAATGCATTTTCGTATTTTACGATCAATCAATCTCTTAAGAGCGCAGTGTCCTTACTAGCTCGCAGACAAGTTTGAAAATTCACATGTATATTGCTTCATTATATTGTGTCGAGTCTTTTTAACAGCATCCATTTGTACTCTAACAATAGGATCTTCATGGATTGTTTGAACTGATTTGTACATGTTACCTAATTTGATACCATCATGATTTGGCTTAATACTATTTACATATTCTTCATAACTACTCATGTGTTGTCTGAGTCTTTTCACCAATTCTAAATTGAATTCATTTGGATTCCGACTTTGACATAGGTCATTTTCCTCACTAATCATTTGTACTATACCCATAAAAAATGGATCGTCTTTCGATGAACGAGCAATATTTATAAGAAAATAAGTGAACTGAGCACTTGCACGAAGCAGTCGTTCTAAACGTGCCATCTCATCAGCACGATTAGAGTTTGGATATCTTGCCACGTATGCATAAGTTAATTCATAATCGATTTCAATGCGTTGATCTGGTGCACATCGACACTGATTGCATGTCTTTTGAATTTCATGTGGAGCATCAATCGTCATCCAGAAACCACCTGTTCGGACCACATCCCGTTTGCACTGATAACAAACAAGTGTTGAGCGAAAAAGTGGAATTGGCTTAAGCTCGATCGATTTTTCTGTTGTGCTCATGTCCCATATGATGCAATTTCGAAGAATATTTCGTATGGCTTCGAGCATTGGCCGGATCATCTGCTTGATTTGAAGTTGAGCTTTTTCAGTAGATTGTGGTTCAACTCTCATGGTATGAACTTTCAGTTTTGTACAAACATAATTAAGAAAATTGCTTGATTCCTTAACTGATGTCAACCAGCTATGTTTATATTCAGAGTGTTCATCTGTACTGAATGTGATTTTATTTTGTAAAGCAGTCAAATATCGGAATGACTCGTTATCAAAACAGAATGTGTTCTCTTTTTTAAACGGAATATCGTCAAATCCAGTTCCTTTGAGCACGGATTTGAGTAAAGGAGCTGCATCACCTGGAGAATAAAAAGTCGATCGAGCATTAGTAAAACAGAAGATTATGTTTTGACGAGACGTTGAACCCAAACTATTGAGTAGTCGAGCCAAGCATGTTTTGAAAAAATTGTGAACTCGTGATGCATTTGGCTTCAGAAGGAAGCACACAGCATTTATATGTGTCAGATCATTTATATATTCTAAAATATGTTGCATATTTACATCATCTTGATCGAGACCACGTGTATCACCAAAACCGGGTGTATCAATAATACATATTTTCTTTTGGCGAATATTATCAAGTTGAAATACATAGGATTTACAATGTTGCGTTACTGATTGGCCTGGATGATCGAAGTTTTCATTGTTTAAACTATCGACATCGCCGAATGTTACAGTGCGTTCTTCGAAGTTATCACCAGTAGTTAACAGAAATGAAACAGGTATGAGTACAACAGGTTTGCCTTGTTGCGCCTTTTCAAGTGTACCGAATGTAAGATAATTGACAAATGCATTTATAAATGTCGATTTACCAACGCCACTTTCACCAAGAAGAAGAATATTAATAAGTTCGGCTGTTGTTGATGCAGTGGATGAGTCAGAAGCATGTGTTTTGCTGTGGGAAGATAATGCCAATTCGTTGCTTTTATTGTTCTGCTCAATTATAAGTTGTGATTGATTGCCATCAAGCTTATTGTCATTATTAAAACGATTCATAGAGCGTGGCTGTTTTTCAGGAGTAACTTGAAGGTTCGATTTCAGTTCTTGATCATCCTGTTTTTCTGGAGCGTCGAACAATGCAGCGTGTGTGTCGTGACCTTTTTGTGTTCGGTGGATCGGTTGCATTTTATCGTATAAGACTTTTATTTTCTTCGAGATTTCTTGAAGTTTCTGTTTGAACATTGTTTGATCGTTGTGTTGAAGTGCTTGACCAATCTCCGACGCATTATTATGCCCTGCGCGAATTGATGCAATCAGCTTGCCTAATTCTTTCATTTTGTTTTGATAGCATTGCCGTAAGTCTCTCCATTCTATTTCAATATCCGCTAGTGATTGTTGAAGATTGTTATGAAGCCCCTTATTTTTACAACACTCGAAAAGATATTTTATTTTATTGTAGTAGTTTAACATTTCTATCAAATATTTTTCAAGCTTGCCACTATCACGTTGACTCAATGGAGTGTATAATCCATGTGATTTGTCTGTATTACCAGTGAACTGTTCAATAGGTTGTAGAGTGTACTCTGTTGGCTGGAATGGGTTGTGCTGGTGTTTGCATTTATCTATATATTGACATACTTCAAGAAATGACGTCATTGCTACTAACTCAGGTATATTTGAATACACTTTTATCTCAGTAATGCTTTTAAGAACATCTGCATCATCTCGAGAAAAACAAGAATCATTGAGAGGATCATTCAATCGAGTACAAACTTTTCGTAGTGTAAAGTCGATATTTTGGATAATCTTGCCTTTAACTGGCAGCTGTAGCACGACTACAACATCAATACCTAAGCTTATACTAGTAATAATGTGAGTGGCATCTACTTCTCGTACTATTGATTTAAAACCTTCATAATTGTGAGAAAGTCCATATTCTCGATCAAGACAAAGAAAATGCAAAAACCGAGTGTATTCGCCCATCGGATGGTAATATTCGGCAAGCTTGGCGACTCCTGTTCGTGGTGCTGTATTTAGTAGTATATTCAACCGCAAATCATCATCAATGTTGATCCATTCGAGAATATTTCGAGACCCATCTGTTTTACCATCTATAAGTTTGCATGTTATTTCGCCAAGAATTTGTTTAACTGGCGGTCGTTCGATTGCATGAGACCGTTCTAAAACACGATTTCGGTATATATCATAGAACGGACCAATCATCCCATTTGAATCAATTGCCCTACGCTTAATCGTAGTATTGGTATTATTTGTAGCCATGCCAAGACGTTCTTTTACTTTCAATGTGGAGAGTATACCTTTTTTACTGAAATAGTTGAAAAATTATTTTTTAAAAGAAAACATGACCTAATTAGGAAGAATTTATGTACAATGCCCATGAAAACATGTATTACATAATCAGATCTTAATAGAAAAATACTGTTAGTATTTTTCTGTAACTAAAGTCACTCGTTTGAATATGGAAATATCACATGTAACAACAGTTTTCATACTTTTGACTAGTAAGAATACTAAACTTGTAGCTACTACATACGAAGTCAAATCTTCCAAAGTGATAAAAAGTTCTATAATTTAATGATATTTGAAATCTATATCGATGTTATCTACTAGCAGATTTCCAAACTCTTGAATAATTCGTACTTTAATTGCTCACAAATTTAGTGTTGAAATAAGTCAATTTACATGAACTACGTAGAACGTCGACGTCTATTACTAGAATCACACATTTCCATATATTATAGAGAATAAAATTGAATATCATGAAGAATTCTGAGCATACAGAAAAAAATGTCCTAAATAGTCACGTAACTATACTTTCTCCAATAAAATTCTGCTAAAGATCTAAAGATATAATACTATAGTGCTACGAGGTTAATCATGCATCGTTTAACCTTCTACTTTACAGAAAGGAAACATAAATTTACAAACTACTGCAAAAACCTTAATGCTATAGTTGAAGAAATAAGGCTATCAAAACTGTGGTTTTTGTATTGTGAATTCGAGGTTAATTCTATGAATGACGAGTTTATGTAGGAAATAACACAATGACAAACTAATGAACAGAATACAGAAATCATGTTTCACGATATAAGTATTAAAGTTGGCTTCGTTCTCAAAAGTTCACTTGCAAACGGATCAAGACGACAAATGATATTTCGATTAGAAAACTACAGTAAAACTAAGTCTCTTTAACATTCGTATCATCAACTGTATCATGACTAAGATAAGTTATTTCGATAGAGCTAATTTTATAATAATGGTAACTGAAAGCAGCTGCATGTTAAACCTTCTTTAAAGCATCTTGTAGTCAAGCCCTACCTTAGTAATAACTAGTTTACGTTTTCTTATTGATGCCAATCAGTCGGAAGTCGACTTCATTATATTACCTTGCTACTTTCAACGTGTGTGCATTTTTTTTCTTTATGGAGATCAAGAACTGAAAGAAAAAAAATAGTGAAGCAACAGCACTGTCAACAAAAAATACTTTCAAAACAACGACAAAATTTGTGTCGAACAAGTAACAAAAACAATAGTTTGTCAGACATACCAGATCATTGCTCAACGGAAAATTCCAAGTTAATCAATGTGTCGAATACTTAGAATTTTTTCGAAACTACTTGAAAGCGTACATACTGATATTATATAAAGAATAATACATTTAATGGAATATATGTTGATAAAATTAATTAATAGAATAATTTTAGACGAAATATCGTTATCTCTATGTAGAATTGTGAGTTGATATCGGCACTAATGCTAAGCCAGTTTATTAGTTTGTAAGTACACATCTATTTTAGTTTAAATAGTAACTTAATCTGAGTCAAGTCTTTCGTGAAATTAATTAAGTTTAATCAATCAAAATTAATTTAAAAAATGCTTTTTACTGAAGACTTCTATTGGATGATATTGATATGATATTATTATATCTACCGAGAACATATTTAGTGAAGTTACTTTTCTTTTAGGCAAATATACATATAGTAACAGAAGATATTTCGCCATTATATCTAGCAGGCGACAATAATATAATCATTTTCAATTTCATTCATTTCCTAATAATCCTTCGAACATATACCAAAAAAAGTTGTTTTTTTAAAGTAAAAGAAATAGCATGCTTGTGAATGCATAAAACTAATTATTTACATCAAGTAAATTTATGCCAATGTTTGAAATCAGTCATGATGGTGTTAGTCCGAAAAATATTTCTTACTAAATTGAGATGATACGTTGAAGACTTCACATAAAGCATTCATTTTTTTTTATAACTTCTTTATTTTTCGATATCAGCTAAATATATAATCAACATTAATTGATGGGATTGTTTTTTAAATTAATTATTTCACATTCAATAGTCGAGGATAACTTTAAAAGACCGATAATAAAGATTGAATTGACTCGTAAAAATTCGACCGTTATACGTAGCTTTTATTCGTACTTCACATGCACTTCATGAGTGTTATCGACTATATATTCACGCCTTGAATCAAATGCAAACCGAATGATTTTATCTCGTTATTTGTCGTGTGCCTTCCGAAATAACATAAAGTAATCCTATCAATCTATTGCCAAACAAGACAAATACTTTCACATGGATTTGTCATAGTTTCTAAAGAGGGCAAGCAAAGTGAATTATTCCAAATTGTAATTTATTTAGTAGATCTTATCCTGCTATCTTCAATAAGACTCATTTCATTAAAGTGAATAGCAATTATAACAATAGTCTTTAAATGAAAAATGATTAAAAAACGACTCACAATTTTCTAGTGCCTTTGCTGAACTAAATGTACTTGCCAAAGCATTTTGAATTAATTAATGCACAAATAACAAGTTTTATTTCCACACCTCTTAGACGATGTTTCATTTTGTTTCCTTGATGGACTCGATATGTCTTATGAAATCATCTGCCAAGCTATTTTAAGGATGACTTGAAAATCAATTTCTAAACGTACGTGATTGGATAAATTTTGATCAATAAAATGCAATTCAGTCATAAACTCGACATTATCTCAGGCTTGTTTCCAATCGTATTGGGTTGGATCAGAATTCACTAACTGTTGAAAATTAGACACTTTTACGAAACAAGTCAACTCAAATTTAAATGTTTGATGTTGTTTTTTGAAAAATCTTATTCCAAAACTTAAAAGTAATCAAAAAACAAAACTTTCATGGACATATTAGTTTTTAGAGTAAAAAGAAATCCAGGAACACCTGCACTAAAAATAGGGCTATTCTCTTCATTCTTGTTAATCCTTGAATAATTTACTTGGTCTAACAATAAATCTGCCTCATATTTAGATAAACTTATTGAATCGACAAGGAACTGCTTATACTTGACATTTTTTAAATTTTGTTTTTCTATTTACTATTGTTCGAACGATTTATTATCATACATGACAAGCTTCTTGCGTGCCAGTAAAACTAGCAGTGTTCTGGACAAGTGATTATTAATCTATCAATCAATATTTATAAATTAATAGAAAATAAGTTTCAACCTTTCAAGTGTGCAAAGTAATCTCGTTTTATTGTATTGTGCGAAATAGTAAAGCAAATTTACACCTTGACTGAGTTTATATAGAAAAGTTAACAGCAAAAATGCAGTGTCATACTTTTCCTCATTCAGTTGTGCTCCTCACAAGTGTCTTATCAATTTCTCGATAGTTATTTGTCGTTCTTCTTGACATTTTTATGCGATATATTTGGTGAGCAGACATTTTCATTTTATCAGCTGCATAAGAGACAAGTAAGTAATCGAATGCTATAATATTCATCAACACGGACTATAGCATATTAAAGGGCAGGCACCAGGACAATTCGTCGCGAGACAATTCGTCGCGGACAATTTGTCGCGGACAATTCGTCACATGGACAGTTCGTCGCATAGTCAACTCGTCGCAGACTATTCGTCGCAAGAAAAATATGTCGCACGGACAATTCGTCGCATATACAGTAAACATAATTTAATCTAGAGAGAGAGCAAAGAGAGAAAAGAATAATTGTGATAAAATATAGCATTTTATTTTTGTTGGAAGATAAATGAAATTGTTTTTAATGATTTTTTTTCAATTTCCCATCAAGCTATTAGCTTTTCCACGAGATTGATAATATCTTTCAAAATATAGTGGGTTTACTCATTAAGTTCAACGCATTCGACTTGATTTAATTATGTCGAGCGATATTTCATATTCTCTTTCATTAATTAACATTGCGACGAATTGTCCAGTCACCAAATGTGTCAAATTTTATTCATTACACGACGGTACATGGACTTTGTAAATAATATGTAGTGGAGAAAAAACATCAGCAGAAAATAAGGATTCCAAAAAGAAAACCACAAGTAGAATTCTTCATTTATAGAAACAAATATAAAACCTAAGAATATCATCAAAAATATTTCAGCGTAATATGAATATTTTATGAATTTGGATGAATAATTATAATCGATAAGATCAAAGACACTTTTTAATAATGAGTAGATTCAATATTTATTTCAATTGCTTTTTCCATTTTTATTACTAGATTAAATTTTTTCCATGACAATGATCAATAGCAACCGATTGAAAACATTATTTCTACCGCATGGTCTCATATATACTATTCTAGGTATAGCCATCATTTGTCTTACTATTTTAACTGTCGTCTATGCTAGCCTATGGCATAAAAGCACAACTTCTTCCAATTCATATGTCGTTGACAATGGTATTATTGGTTATCCTGCTCGTTTACCTAATGATGGTCGATATGTTCAATGGACGTTTTTACAAATGAATGACGTTTACGAATTATTATCACTCGAAGGAGGGCGAAAAGGTGGTTTAGCTCGTGTTGCTTATATGCGAAAATTATTGAAACAAGAAAATTCTCATATGTATACGATTTGTGCTGGTGATCTTGTTTCTCCATCAGCGTTAGGATTATCGAAAATTAACGGAACAGCTTTACATGGAAAACAGATGATTGCAACAATGAATACTCTTGGAGTTGACTTTATGATTTTTGGAAATCATGAATTTGATATACCTGAAAATGATTTACTTGCACGGATGAATGAATCGACATTTGCTTGGATTGGTACAAATGTATTTCGTCGTGATAGTAATCAAACATTTGGTTCAAGTATTTCTCATAAAATAATTACTATAAATACTGTTCGAGTTCTTCTCATTGGATTAACTATTGATGGTACTAGTGATTATGTTCGAATTATCAATCAATCTTCATTAGTCAATTATGTGCAAGAATATTTAAGATCATTTCCAAATACAACCTATGATGTACTTGTCGCTCTAACTCATTTAGACATGACAACTGATATAAGAATTGCTTCGAAAATTCCACAAATTCATCTCATCATGGGTGGACATGAACATGATAATTATAATTATCTAAGAGGTACAAAATATACGCCGATTTATAAAGCTGATGCAAATGCTATTACTGTGTTTATACATCGTTGCGCTTATAATTTGGATACAAAACGTTTTCGCATTTATAGTACTTTAGCACAGGTAACAAATGAAGTACCGGAAGAAGAAAATACCGCAGCAGTAGCTAAATTTTGGTTTGATTTAGGCATTAAAGGATTTCAAGAATTAGGTTATGAACCAAATGCAGTTGTATCATGTCTACCAATAGGAGTAGAGCTCGATGGTAAATCAGCATCTGTTAGAAGTGATAGAACACTTTTAGCGGCTGCAATTTGTGAAAGTATGGTACAATTAACAACGGCATATAATACAACTATTGGACTTTCTAATGGAGGAGCAATACGTATTGATGATGTTCTCCGTGAAAAAATTACAGAATATGATATTTTACGAACGTTACCTTTTTCTAATACGATTGTTGCTCTTTCTGTCCCTGGTGCAGTGCTTGCTCAAGTTCTCACAACTGGTGTATCTCTAAAAGGAAACGGAATGTTTATTGATTATACGGCAGTAGAAACGTTAGATGGTGGTAAAACCTGGTTACTCAATGGAACAGATATATCAAAAAGTGGTGCTTATTATAATGTGGCAACGAGTGCATTTGTACGAGATGCTACAGAATTAAAAAATGTAGACGTTACTACTTTATATGAAACTAATATAACACAAACAAGAACTTTATTGGAATATTTAAAAGTTCAATATCCTCCTTGTTAGAAAAAAAGATTTCTTATTCAACTATCACATACAATATATATATATATATATCTATAAACGTGTTTTTTACTTTTGAAATATTTTATTCAACAATATCATATTTTTAACACAAAGAGAAAAAAACTTAAATAATCACTAAAGAATCGCATATTGATGATCTGTATCGTGAAAGAGCTGAGGTCATATCCACTCATTTTCGATTTCACATTGATTGACAATTCATTATTGCATTATCATAGTAAACATTTTCATTTTAGATAAGAAAGAAACGACTATTCCATATAAATATTTAGAAGAAACCATACGATTTCCTGTCCGACATTCCAACATCTTTTCAATAATGCAATGCCATTGTACACGATTCTCGTGTGGGACACGTAGATATCGCACAAGAATAGTAATTAAAATAGGATACCATTTTCGATTGAAAATTTAGCAAAATCTTCTATGTTTTATTTCCTTTCCTTTCCGACAGGATATTTGATTCAGATTCAGTTTATCAAATGTTGTTTTATTGAGTCTCATGGTGCAATTCATACATAAAAATGAGTTCCAAGACAACTTAGAATTAAATAGTTAATGAATCTGATAGTACAAATCACCGGGATCTTTGCCTATTATTGTGTATATTTTGCATGGTGTAATTTGTTTTTTGAGTTAATACGAAGAAAATATGCTTAGCGGATTTTCAAATTAAATGAAGCTTTTCTCAACTTGTTAGGTTGCATTGAAGACCCCTTAAGCAAATCTTAAACCAACTGAATAGAACTACGTTTTGTTCGAACTGCTGATAAACGTTGACCGCAGATATTATAACTTCGTAGTTAATCTATTTCTTCGAATTCAATTCATTGAAAGCAATACTAGTTTTTCATTTGCTTTTACTTCTGTGTCTTTGTTACATCAACAATGGAAAACGAAGAAAATGCCATTATCAATCATCGCTCGTGCTAAGTTTTATTATTCCCGACTTTTCTGTTATTACCCTTGAAGCACACAATCCTTTTAAATAATCGGTACAACTAATAGTATCGCTTTGATTGGCTGCAAGATTTGGTGACTGGAAAAAATCATTTTATTTCGTTAAGTAACTAACATAATAATGCAACGCACCAGTTGGTAGAGTAAAAACAAATTAAAATATCTTGTACCTGTTGCCACACTGGTTGAAGAATTTTGTTTATAGAAGAATCGATCAATTTCTAGATGCTTCTACGCCCCTTCGGTTGTGAATATATATATATAAAGAGAAAGAGAGAGAGAGAGAGAGAGAGAAAGTAGTAAGTTGACGTACTCACAATCAGTAGCAATATTTTTCTGTATGCTTAGAGCGTTCTAATAACAACATTTTTTTTTCAATCTTGGCTCTCTTTTGAAGCAGCAAAAACTATAATACAATCAGTTCTCTCAGTTGTTATAAAGGAACATAGATGTTGTTCATACAAGGATTCAATTATTCCTGTTACAGTTATTAAATAATGCTCACTAGAAATCATCATTTTTATCTCGAAAACTTCTTCTTTTGAAATAATGCATGCTCTGATTGCTTCTTACATCTGTTGTTTCTTGCCACTTCAGAATCCATTAGTTTCGTGCGCTTAACTTTATTACTTATCTACTAATCGATCGATCATGTACAGTAATCAAGGTAGTCAACCCACAAAGTATATCGAAATTGCATCAAATGGTCAAGTTATTCGCCAAGCAGCTACCGTTCCACCTGATGTGGAGATGAATTATCTTGCTCTGCAAGGTACTGCAACTTACAATAACACATCTTCGAATAGTCAATGGCCAACGTATGCATCTCAATCATCAAGCAAGAAACGTAAGTGTCCTGGGATTTGTCAACGATAGGCATGCTTATTATTGATTATTTAAGAATGGTGGCAAAGTTCCGGACCATATAATCCTTATCGAACAACGTATCAAGATTATGGTCCTTCAAAAAATAAACCTCATTCTATGTCTAGTATGTACTACACGCAACCTTATCCGTACGGTCAAGTATGTATTTACGAATTCATTCAACTCTTTTATAACATTTATTTTTCCTCTAATTTAATGCTTAGATTTCCAATGTGAATGGTAGTAGTAAAAATCTATATGAAATGACATCTTATCCGGCTACTACTTCGATGCCTTCCAATTCACCTCGACCTTTACAATATATATATAATTAATAGTTAATATGCTCCAAGTGATGCAAGAACAATGAAATATCTCGAGTGACTTTCTTGTCTTACGTAGAGTGTATATATTCATTTGATGCCTGTATCAACAATTTTCATAGCGCTTCAAGTCAAACTTAAGATCACGAGAAATTTCATCAAAACTTGATAGTCTTTTTCTTCAATATAAATGCTTACAGTTATGTAAATGAGAAACTTAAGCAAATTGGTTGTCTGTTTTATTCTGATTCTTCCTCATTTTTGAAATAAACGTCGCTTTTTCTAACGAAAAATAAATCTTTATTAAACTATTAAATAGATTATTTCTGATACAGACATATAAGAAATATGTTTTTCATTATTTGTTATTATTTAGTATCTAATCCTAGAGACTCTAACGATATAATTTACCAATGATGTCTCCCGCTTGTATGTTTCTCTTTACTAAGGCTGTACTACTGTATCGTGGAACGGACTATTGAAATGCTTATACATGATGTAGATGAACTTAATAGTGAATTCAAATTATATTAGAAGTAACTTGTCAAGTTATGCTGTCTATCATAATAAGAATAGGAATGATGAAGCTCTTGCAGAAAAAGTTAATCATATTGACGATGAAGCCTGTTCAAAATTATTAATATTATTTCAAAGATAATTTGCTTCATTCTCTAGAACGATGATAGATTTTTTTGGTTGGCCGTAGAAAGGCCGAAAGGAAAAATATCGAAAGGAAAAATACCGAAAGAAAAACACCGAAAGAAAAATATCGAAAGGGAAAAATGTCGAATGAATAAATGTCGAAGAGAAAAATGTCGAAAAGGAAAAATGTCGAAAAGGAAAAATGTCGAAAACAGAACAGATAGAAAAAAGCGACGTCTACTAAATGAAGGTTCTAATAGTTTGTTGTTCATTGTTGTTGATCTGATTATTCCATTGGTTTGACAATGATAACCCTTGATACTATTGAATAAGTAATATCTTATGAAAACTAGCTAAAATAGGCGTAAAATAGTATACAACGATTAAAATTTTATCATGATGACTACAGCTTGCTCATTTTGATCTGGTGAGAATCATCCGCCAACTCCAGTTATTTCATTTATTCAGTCGTAAAAAGGAAAACCTTTCCTTGTATCAGATAAATATATTTTCAAACTGAATACAACAGCAATAACTAGTAAATATTGGATATGTGTATTTTTCTTTATAACTCTTATTTATCTATGATCTATCCTATGATGCTATTATGATTTCAAGAATAAAAACATCTTAGTGCAAATTTTCTATATTTTTCCCTTTCTATATTTTTCCTTTCGATATTTTTCCCTTTCGACATTTTTCCCTTTCGACATTTTCCCTTTCGGTCTTTCTACGGCACACCATTTTTTTCGATATCAATCATGTTTGAGAAATGTCTAAAATGTAGGTATTTTGGTATTATTGAAGCTTTAACTACGAATCTCACATGCGTTTTAGTTAACAACTATCTAAAATGTTATGATATGAAAAAATAAATACTTGCAAAATTGTCACCAACAGATTAATTGAAGCGTACTTTTTTAGAGAACAATAAAATTGAATATAGAGAAAGCTCTAAACGAAAAAAAAGTTCTGCGCTATCCTCGAAAAGCATACTCGACAAATCGTTAGTAGCAGAGATTTTAGAGTTTTTTTCGAAAAACGACATTATGCAAATTATAAAATTATAATTTTGTGAAAGAACCTTCATCAACCTTTTTTTTCTATACATAAATCTTAATTTTGATAAAAACTGCGTGTGTGAACATACTTAGTGAGGCTCAGTTTTTTCAAGCGCTTTGAGTTTCAAAGAAACAACAATTTAGGACTACCTGCTAATAAGAAACATACTATTAATGCTGTTTTTAAATTTATAAACTGTGAGCAAAATCTGGAACATTTTTCGAAGTATTTTTTCGATGTTTTACTTTTGAATATGCCTCTATTTTCATTGGAACACTTTTTATCTGATCGTAATCAATACCAGCGACAAACTATACAGTAACATGAGAAAATCTAATTTCTTCATACTTATCTGTTTATACGCATATTTCTATAGTGAACTTTCATTTTCAATTGCAACCGTAATATACCAGTTTCTACCATTTTTTGTTCCGTCCAATCTGCACTATTTTTTAGATGTGTTCTCAATACTGCAAAAAACATATATTATAATACAAATGCAACATCTCAATAATTTCTATATTAAGCTTTAAAATCTTTTATAAAAATTAAAATAACTTTTTTCAAAACGAAATATTTCTATTGTACATAAATATGATCACTGAAAACATCAATTTTATTTAAGGAAGTTTATGCAAATTGAGACTGTCTAAGATAAAAGTGGCAATAGTATCCCTGTCCAATTTAATTGCATTCTATATAAGATTCGCTGAATGTGTTTTGACTTTGTATTCTTGCCGAATTTTTCCATCGAAAGAAAAATATAAAATTCGAGTAATTCCTTTACAATCCATTCATCATAATTGAACGAACAACAATGAGCAACTGCATCGAGTGGAGCAGACCATAGTCGTTCGAATGTCGTCGACAGGCGTAGTTCAATAAGTCTTTGAAATGCATGAATATTTGAGATAACGAGAGCAATTTTTCCATTCGCACATGTAAAATTAAGAATACCTTCGCGTTTTGAATTCAAACCGAATAATTGCCATTCTTTTACAAATTCAATGATTGGCCGAAGTCTATATTCGTACAGACGCATAGATAAATCTCCAGTTGATAAGTATAAAGAAGTATCTGAACATGATCCAGAAGACCATTCTTTATCATTGATACGATCGACCCAACATTGTTGAAGTGGCATAGTTTGTTTTTCAAGAGTGAAAATATGCTTTGCCGTAATAAGAATGAATTGATCGAGTGTCGACGGCCAACAGAAATCAAAATGATCGTATTCCCATGGTATCTCTTTAATAATTATTTCATTGTTTATCAGGCAAACATAAATTAGGTTTTTGTTTTAGTAGTATCCATTCACCATCACATCCTATGGATACCGAACTTTTATTTTTTATTTTAAGAGTTCGATATGTCGATGATGATGATGATCTGTTTCTTCAATTTGTTGATCGCTTCTATTATCAAAATTCTTCAGCCTTCGGTAAAAGTCACAAAACCATTTGTTAACAGTTGTGCAACAGGATTGTCCTTTCAAAGATAGAAGATTGTTTTGATTTGAAATTGATTTTATTTCATTGTCTATGCAGAAGATTGACGACTATTCTCGCTTATTGTATAAACGGACTGTTTATACATATCTATAGAACATATGCGTGATGATGATCATACAGTACTGGCAGTCAAGAACAATAATATGATATGTAAAATAAGAGATGAAGAAATAAAATTTTATCAGATAATAATTCTTTGCCTCTATTTTCCCATCGCGCTTGCTGCTGATTGGTTCAAATTGAGTAGAGTAGAGTATGAAGTTGATTTAGCCTGGTATGAAAAATAGAACTTCTATAAACACGTAATATACCATTCTATCTTTTCTATTCCGACATTCGTCGACTAGTAGACGAAGAAAGTGAAAAAATAATTTTTCTGAAATGAAAAGAATATTTCTTCTCTGTTATTTACTCGGAACTCACAATCATGAGAGATGTAAAATATGCCAATAGAATATTAGTATTAATACAATTGTATTCCGAGATAATAATAAAAACATGGCAGGTGAACACAGATTTTAATTGAAGAATATATATTATAAATTATCAATAACATTGGAATAAGTATAACGTCTTTGTATGCTTCTGATGTTAAATTATATTCATCGCCTAATCTACATTGTCTTTCATCAATCATATTCGTAGCTAATAAGGAATGATTGAAGATTACGTATACGAATGAGAACGTCTGTTCAATGAAGTAGATTTTTCAAATAGTGATTTTATCAACAAAAACGTGATATTTTTCTAAAATGAAGAAAAATATTTTTTATTTAAGATTTGTTTTGAAATGATGGATCGAAGGAATATGAATTGGGCATACATCTTCATCATCTTACTATTCAACATACGATATTGAATAATCAAATAACAAAAAGTCACTACGCATAGAGAGAAATTTCACTATTTATTGATGAGACTCACAAGATTTAAGCTAAAGATGTAGTCAATTTTGATAAGAATATACTCAAGAACTAATAGGATTGTAATTTTCATTGTAAAGATAATCATTTATACAATTCCGATGTATGATCTTTATGTTTTTTCCAAATTTAACAATGACTTCGTTTATTGCCAACTGTGACAAAGTGATTACAAGAAAAATACAAATTATACAACTATTTGTGTGTCAGTTTGGTGATTGGTTGATCCGTAAGAATCAGTAAGAGATCTATCATTGTGAGATGTATAGAAAGAATCAGTACGTGAACGAGGTAATTGGATCAAATAAGCTATATCAACAACTTGCGGGAGGATATTATTCGTTAAGGGCAATGCTGCAGGTTCTGTATTTATTTCTGATACGATATTTATTTCTTGTGCATTTGAAATATGTCGATTGATCACGAAAAGACATCTGATAATGAAATAAATCAAGAAATATTTCGTTTAGGAGAAAGAAAAACTTACAGATTGAGAATAATAGGTATAATACAAAGTCCACTTGCAAATAATAATGTAAAATTTTTTTGGTGAACTACTGTTTGAGCGTAGATCCAATTGAATAAAGAACTTCCAAAAGCCAGAATAATTGTATTTATTTCTGTTAATAATGTAAAAACATCGCTACGTTCATGAACTTCCAACCATTTCACTATCATCGGTGTCGTTAATATACCTTGATAACCCGAAAATGGATTAATCAATAATGCTAAGTACAATTGCCAACTATATTGAGCTAGTGAAATCCAAAATGCGTAGACAAAGAAACAAATATGACTGAGACTACATATTATAGCATCATTTGCTCCAATATAAGTCAATAGTTTCATGCCTAGTGCACTAAAAATTGCTGTAGTTATTAATGATACTGCAGAGTATTGACCAAGATTTTTCGATGTCCAACAGAACGGAGTGCCAAGAAGATACCAAACCAATGTTGACATAGATGATAATGCCAACAAATAAAATATATAGGAAACAATGATTAAAATGATACTAATCGATTTATTTTTCGAATGATGTCGAAAGTTAAATACTTCACAGATGCCAAAACAATGGTAAAATCTAGACAGCACATATGTCTTAACAATGGCATGAGCATTGTTCGACGACGACGACGACGACGACGACGACGACGATGATGATGATGGTAGTAGCAGCGCTGTATTCTCATCGTTTGATTGAGGATAATTTGTTGGCTTCAAAAAGAGAATAACGACAAAAATTGACAATATTTCCAATGCAATTGCTGCCCATAATAGATCAGTGTAACCACGCCATTGAATATAATAACCAATACCAAATGTTGCTATTGATGCTAAAGCCGTAGTCACCGCATTGATACATACAAAACGTGATGATCGTTCACTTTCTTCGGTACTTTCTGTGATTACTAAATTTATTACAATACCTAAATGAACAAGAGAGGAAATAATTGTTTTAAGTGAAAACTATCGATAATAACCTAGAATATTAGTGCCGCCTGCTAAACCAGCAATGAAAGCTGCGACATACCACCAGTATTCGGCTAAATTTTTATAGATGATAGCTTGATAAATAAGTACATGAATAGAATTTCCTAATATAGAAAATACTAACACTAATCGTCGATTTAATCGTGAAGCATAGAGACCAAATAAATACGTAATAACAATTACCGGGAATGCTCTCCATAGAGTGGCTCGAAACACTAAATCTGCTGATTGTTGTTGTGCCCATGCTTGAGCAGAACTATTAGAAAGATCTGTCGTATTTTCTACACATTGTTCTTGATTTAATTTAAACATTTTAATAGTCACGGATACATCATCAGTAATAATTGTCCAATTAAGAGGAATATCATCGTAAGTTCGTAGAAAAAATCCATAGATATATTGCCCGATAATTGAAACAATACAATTGTATAGTGTTTGTAGGCATAGAATTGTTATAATAAAATAACTATTACAATCGATCATACTTGACTAATAATTATCTGTATTAGACTTAGAACAATTCTGAAAAATAAAAGATGTCATTATGTTGACAAAACATGCTTAGTTTTTCTTCTGATTGACGATACCTACCATCATCAGAAACGTGTCTGTTCTCTTACCTTTTTTTTCCTTTTCTACAAAGAAAAATTAAGCGACGAAGCGTTCTGTCATTCAAATCTTTTCTTCTTTTCGTTTTTAGGCTGAATGAAGAGAAAAATATTTTCAAATCAAATGACTATTGATCTTTTTCGTTCTGTCGAAAACATCAGAAAATATATGCTTGTATGTCTACACCACGAAATACTGTTTATTACTTGAGCGTGCCTTCAAAATCGAATGTCCGTACGCTATGTTGAGAAGCACTCACGATGCTTATCAACAATAAAAATCTCGGCTGTCCAATGCAGTAAATTGAAGTTTCTCGATCCTATTGACGGTTTATTGATGATATAAAATATAGCAACATCGAAACAGCCAATAGAACATTTTCTTTAATAAACTGGTTCAAATTCATGATAGTCATTACCAAACATAATTAGCAAATGAATTCTCGTTAAATCAATTTCATACAATCAACGTTGTAAACAAAACCTATAATCGTTTACAGGAAAACGTATGCAAACAATAAGAATACTATATCCTTGATCTATATATTTATATATATACATGGATGATCATCAGCAAATCAAGAATAACTGTCAATAATACATAAGGAATGAGTTAAATTTTCAGCTTTTAAATAAATTTTACATTCTTCTATGAGCTAACTACACTAATATTCATAAGCGACTATAATAATCACCCATAATACACTGTTGAAACAAGGATTTACATCATAAGCTATATAAGAAAAATATTGATAAATATATTAGAGTGTAGCTGCATAATAAATATTTTCATCGAAGTATATTCAACAAACACATACATTGAATTATGCCTAAATAGGTTATATAGATATTCAAGCCTACTATTGATCGAAGAATGTCATATTTACTTGGATATGAGAGCAATGAAGTAAAATATTTTACTACAAAAGACGGAAAGAGAAAAGAAACATGATTGAGGATCTGATGATTTGAACGAGTGCAGCACTATTAACATTTATGGATCTTTCAAGAAAAAGTTTTCATTGCAATATTGAACTTATTCTTGGATTTCATCAAGTGCAACAGCAGGTCATGGCTATTCTATTCTTGAGCAAAGAAACTGACCAATTAAGAAAAACCGTTTTCTTTGCAATAATAAAACTAGTTGACTGATTTATTATTAGCTTTCGGTGGAGTACATATCAATGAGTATTTAATGTAGAAAACGAAGCGTGGCATTTGTTTATCATTATTAGATGAATAGTCGCTGTAAGGTACGCGAACTTCTATTCTTTTTATTGACTAAATCCAAAAATATTGATTTATTTGAGACTCATAAGAAATAAGTAGAAAAACAATAATACAGTCGATCATTTGTTTTCGAAATCCGCCGATACAAACGACCACCAAAGCTTCAGCCAGAATGCAAAAGAAAACAATGCATGCGTACAGAATTCACGAAAATGAACACATAATTCTACATGTACTCATTCATTGACAACCGTGTGTACTCAAACGTGCCTTGATGGTGTGTCGTAGAAAGGTCGAAAGGGGAAAATGTCGAAAAGAAAATGGTCGAAAGGAAAAATATCGAAAGGGAATAATGTCGAAAAAAATATAAGAAGAGAAAAACGTCGAACAATACATTTTACCACAAAAAAATGTCAAAATTCGAAATAAACGAAATAGCGATGTCTACCCAGGTNGTCGCATCTTCAGAAGATGAAACTCAATCAAAGTCACCAACGATTTCATTGATTAATTCACAAAAAGGAAAACAATTGCTAATATATTTCGATTATCATATGTTAGTATTAACGTACACAATGAAACATACTTCTCTCAAGTCAGAATTCGAAAACACTCTTTTCGATCATTTTCCACAATAATATATTTTTTTCGACATTTTTCCTTTCGACCTTTGGACGGCCAACCGCATTGATGAACGCAATGTTTATAACAAGAAGAAACAATATGCAACCCCTATTCAAATACGTCTACCAATACAACAGGTTTATCCTGACAATGAACAATAAAGATGCACTCTTCTTTTTTGACAAGTAGCATATGCTAGTTCTTTTAAGCTCATGAATACAAGAATCCGGAGTAATATCCGTATATTCCCAACAATCAAAAGATAACAATTGGTCTGAATAAAAACATAAGACTTAACTGAACTACTGTTTGCAATTCACAGAATAATAATTAATGATTTATACGATACATCTGCCAATGCAAATATATGCCTGTAGATGCACGAATGTTTCACCGACTAGTGGGTACATGAAAAGAAACACGTAAAACACACCCAAATCGATATTCACTTGACCACCATCATACTCAGTCATATTCAAACTGTTTATACAAACTGAGATAAAAATGTGACTGTAATCCTTAACAATATAATCCGCGAAAACAAGTACCTCTTTCTACTTATTCAAGAGCATACTTATTGAACCAGAGTACTTTTTAAGTACCTCGTATATCCATAAAAACAACTGACTAAATCACACGTATACACCTGTAAAGAATCTAGTGTGTTTCTCACTGCGAGTGTAAGTACTCGCTGTCAGTGTGCGAGCATTTATAGTGACAAATGAACTCAGAATCCCAATTACTTGCAATCACACCTTGAGTATTATCAGCATGCTGCTATATCAGCGTACATAGAGAGGAATAATAGAAATTGAAGGTTGGTTTTGTTTTTTTGCAATCAACTTCGAATTGTCTTTTATTTTCTGCGTAGAAATTCAATACTTGTAAGAGAGAATAATCACTGAGAGAAAAGGGAAAAGCGATGTTTTGATAATCGAGATTTTGAAATATATCCGCATCAGAGTAGTTTTATAGGAGAACAGATAAAGCTGAGAATCGAATCAAGTATAAATTCTGTTTTTCTGTTTCTCGTCAATACGTTTTCTATTCTTATCTTCAATGGGAATTTTATATTTTTTTATAGAAGATGTTGATTGAGGTAAAAAACAGAGAAAATAGTGTTTTTATGAAACACAATCTGCCAATACGATTTCGCTAGAGTCTACATGGGAAAAAAGAGACTAAAGAAATAGAAACTGAATACTGATTTTGTTTTATATATTCAAGTATATACTATATTTGTCATACTCTCGACCGAAAATCGAGTATTTATAAGATAGAGTAATCATTGCAGTAAAACGAGACAAATATGGTATTATTTCTAAAAGAAAAATATAAAGATTGGCAAACCACAGGATAAGAAGTCATATAAAATGAAGCACACACTCTAATTACACTTTTATTTTCAACCTATCAGTTCTTTGGTAAGCATACTCCGATGTCAGCATAATGTATTTTGTTCGTTTCAAGCCAGCATTTTGTCTTGTTCCAGTAGATTTAATAATCTTGGTAGATAGTTAGTTGAAAAGAAATCAGTAAATCTTTAATGAATAGTTTTAGTCGTCTACATATATGGTAATTAATATTTGGTATCATGCAGCAGTTTTAAATTTTGCCTTTGAGTCCATGTTACGTTAGCTTAAATACAATGTACATTGAAGAAGGCTGACTGAAAACTATTTAGTAGAGTGACCATTAATATGAACGAAGATGTTCACACAACAATAAGGAAGTTTGTGCCTGTGCAGTTAAATTTGATGTGAATTTTTTATTAGTCATTAATATCTATCTAACAAAAATATTCTCTGTATAGAGGGTCACAGAGAAAATATAGGTGTACAATAAGTTTATAAAATCACATTAAAAACGTGTTTTAAGTCATGTTTCTTTAGGAGCACAGAATATTGACTTGAGCAAAGAACTAGTAGGTCGTGATTCAATATACTTGGAACTTTCATAAAAGTTCAATAGAACTTAAAACTATATTCCTAAATAAGAACATTAAGATAGAGCTCTCACGGCCAATATGATTTCTGAGATTATCCGATCGGAAGTTGTCTATTACGTACAATCTGTTATCGTTAATGTATCCGAAAAAATGAGCTGTGCGAAATTATGCACAAAGCACATTCAAATATGTGATCCCAGTCTGCGACGCATAAGCCTCTATATTTAAGCCTGTTGACTTCATGAAATTCACTTATACTTGCAGAAAAAAATTTTTTGACATTAAGAACGAAATATTCATTTTGAAAAAGGTGATTTTTTTTATTGGAAGATTTACATTTTTTGTAAAAATCAAATTTAATAAAAAAAAGTCGTCTTTGACTTTAACTATACTTTCATTAAGAGGCCAAAGCGAAAGTACCATTCCTGTATGTGGCCCACCTGCAGTGAGTACAAAGAACTTTTCGAGAACATTTTTACGAGAAAGCACAGAGCTATTCTCATACATTTTTGCGGTAAGCGGCTCTAATGTAGTAGAAATTTTAAGTGTTTTTTTTCACATACTACTCAACTGAAGCATTTTTCCTATAGAAATGAACATTACTCTGATTGATTCATGTTTTTCCGGCAAAGAACTGTGGTGTAAGTCGACAGACGTAGTGATTCTCCTGTAGCGTATGCTTTCAATATTGTGGACCTAACCGCTATTTTTCCGCTTAAAATAGTCATTTATCTAACCAATCAATTCTACAGCTGATTCTCTTATTTAAAATATATTTACTAGCAAATATATATATTTTACAAAAGTAAATAGTTAATATTTGATTCAATTACCTTAGTTACCTTTTTGAAAAAGTAAAGCAAATGTACCATCCCTAGTCTAAAAGAGAATGCAAATTGATAGAGAACTGAGAAGTACAACATATTTTTTGCACGTTTGAGGGCGTAGTGAAAAATATTCTTTTAATTTAGTAAGTTCAATATAGTGTTTAATTATTTATGAACGTATCAGACAAGTTTCAATTAGTATCATTGCATACATAAATCATAGTCTGTTTCATTTTAGTTATTCAGTAGTTTTCTTCTAACTAACTATCTTCGCCTGTGATAAGAACAAAACATAAATATGATCGGCAGTGACACTCATATCCATAGGATTCAAAAGCTCTCCGTAGAACGCAACGATGAGAAAAATGATTTACAACAGCTCAATGATAGTCTTGGCATCTACATTCAACAAGTAAAAGAACTCGAACTTAGAAATAATCAACTACGTTCGCAGATTATTGCTCAGAAACCTAAAGGCGGTAAGTTTCATCAAATATACTTTTTTATTTAAAATTGAAAAAATACTACCGTATGGTTGCTTTACTTTATTCTCAGGTTTCGATTCCGACGCACTTAAAAAGCAATACAACAAAGACTTGCTTTTACTTCGACAACAATTGGACACGACTGCAATCGATTTAGAACTAACTCAGCTACAAAAAGCAGAATTCGAACGTGCTACATGGTCGAATCAGCATCGAATTTCTTTTTTGAGAAAATTTTTTACTACCGATAAACAACGCCTTTTGTTATGCACACAAGAAATTGAACGAAACAAAGCGGAACTCGATGGAGTACGTATTCAAATCGAAAATAAAAAGCAGGAAGTGGAACGAACCAAAAGTGTAATGAATGAACAATCAGACTATTTGGAAAATTTGGAAAAGGAATACAATGAAATAATAAAGGCTCATGTCGTTATCAATATCCAATTGAAAACACTGCAAGAAGAATCATTCTTCTTGAAAGCTGTTTTTGAAGAAGAATGTGAAGAATTGCTTTCTCGTGGTACACTGCATATCGATGTTAGTCAATTCTATCGAACTGAACTTAGTCGGGCAATCGCCAATATCAGAAAAGACTATCAAACACTTTCAAACAAACGACATCAAGAGTGGGAAAGTAAGATATAAAGAGACTGATTGTTCTCATTAGTTAAATTTTGAGTGAAATAACTTGTCCCTCTAATCACTTCTATAGTGATCATCAATATACGATCGCCTTCAATTACGAAGCCTTCTGATCTTAGAATATTATTTTGGAAGAATATCAATTAAAAAATAACGTATAAAAGTGACGCATTATTTTGAGAAACTTTGTATTTCCGTATACTTTTCTGATAGGAAGACTTGAGATATACAGTTCAAAAAACAGAACTATATATATACCTTCTCATTTTCTAATGCTAAGTAAATTTACTTTCTTGAATAATCCAATTTTAATACAGTACCATTAGGTCTCGCGCCGAAATTTACTTTAGCGACATCTATACATAATAATATAAGACAGCCGGATTCATATAGATGACGGACGCTACCAAAATCAAAAAATATTTTTTATCGTTTTTACACACACGATAGTCTTGTTGCTTCCTTCTTGTTTTCTTTTTCGATAACAAAAACTACAAAAACATTTAACATTTATTATCCAATTACATCAACAAGCCTAGATTATTAAGAAACGTACTAGCAAGCATCATAATTCAACAGTTTTCATCCTTTGAAAAAGTTAAAGCTATGCTATTCTTTTTTCAGCCTACTACCAAATGAAAACAGAGGAGATCAAAACAGAGATAACTGAACAAGCACTCAAACAGAAAAATGCGAATAAAACAAATGATGTGGGAAGTATGGATGTGAAAACACTCAAGGCGACATTAGAGGAATTTCAAAGCTCTTACACCGTATTGCAATCTGAAAATGTAATTTTGATCAGTCGTATGCAAACACTCGAAGAGCAATATGGAAGCATACAATTCGAACGACATCAATCACTATTCTTATTGGAACAACAAATTGCTGCATTATTAGCTGATTACAATGAGAGCCGATCGAAAATCTCAAGTATACATGAAAGTAATGTAACACTGCAATTCGAAATTAGCACTTACCGTCGATTATTAGAAGGTAATTAATTAATATCCTGTCTAATTCTAGTAACAGAATATATTGAGAACCTAACGGAATCTTCCATTTCTTTGGAGCTCATATTTCGAACTAGTTCACCAAAGTACTTAAAAACAGTGAAGATAAACGTGTATATATGTTTTCTTTATGAATTCGTGATTAATTTACAATCATTTTACTAGAAATGTACAAGTTTTTGTTTGAAAACATTGATTCATTCAATACTAGTGAAGAAGATGTTCTATCTTTTACTGAGAAATTAAACGAGAACGATAGAGTTTATGTTGCGGACAAGAGCACTAGCCTCACATATTTCTCTGAACATTAAAACATCGATATAACGGATGACTGCTGAAACGTGATCCATATTTAACAGGAAAAAAGCGAATATCTGAATAAGAATCAGTACAAAATTATTCGAAAATCCATGTTTTCTAATCATCAAAACTATTCGAACGACTTTTTTCTCGACTCATATACTCTTATTTATTGAAGGTGTATCCACTAGCACTCCAACAAAAACTCGTGAAATTGCTCTACAATGGGCGAGCACATCGACTGCAAATTTTTCGGCGATGAATTTGAAAGCACCTTTTGTCTTACGTTGGGCAGAAACTGTTAAGGTAACAGGATCGATGATTTTGCTTCCGACTACATTCATTGGTCCAAAAGGATGTAGTGGTGTCTCGTTCGCAGCTGTTTATTACACGTCCAACGAACGAGTCATTGTGGAAGCAACAATTACTGATCAATTCAATTTTAACAATTATGGACAATATCAAGTAACAATCTATTATGTGAATTCTAAAGTTGCGATTGGATCATGGACAATTCAGCTTGAGCCTAAAGGTGGAATATGCATGCCAAAACAGTTACTTCTCCGAGATTCAATTAATAATTCCATTGTTGGAGCAACAGTTCAATTACTATTGTTAGGACAAGTTGTTTTCCAAAGTACAAGTGATAAGAGTGGTATTGTGAATCTACCGAAAACGCTGTTAGAGAATTGTTATGACATCCAGATAGATACACATGCCGATAAATACAAAATTGGTAAATTCAAACGAATAGTTTTTCAAAACCGAGGAGCAGAATCGGAGACCTTTTACATTTATCGACAAATGAAAAGTGATGAGGTTGAATTTCTGCTCACATGGGGAGAAAAACCAAGTGATCTCGATTCTCATGTGTATGTTTCGGATGGACGGCATGTAAGTTTTTCGAACAAACAAGAAACAAATGTGTCTCTCGATTATGACTGCCGCGAAGGTGGTGGGCCAGAAACTATCAAAGTCAAACTTGAGCCAAATATGAAATATATTTATGCCGTTCATAGATATACCAAAGATGGAGAACTCGCAAAATCAAAGGCAACTGTTAATATCAGTACGAACGAAGATTTGGGTTCGGGTCTTCCATTTCATGTTGTTCGAGTTCCAAATGTTAATCAACCTGATGCAAATTTTTGGGTGGTTTGCCAGATTGATGGAACAACCAAGAAGATCAAATATTTCGAAAATGCCTTCGAAAATAGTGATGAATGTAATACCGACCAGTTTATCAGAAAGTTTTACAATGCATAACTTCGTCATAAACTTTCATGTGATTTCAGCGTACTATAGTTCGCTTCATAAGAATCTTTAGTAATAAAGCATTAAATATATATCTAAATTAAAATAATCTGAAAATCATTTAGCGTATTCAAAATATTGATTGTAACAGGTGAATAACTATAGGAATTACTAAAGCAAAAAATGGTTAAAGTCATATTAACTATTGTTTACAAGTATATTATCAGTTATTTGTTCTGTTCATTGAGCAAATGTTCTTGTTATACGTCGAAGTATCAAACATGATATTTCCTTATGAAAAGAGTACGACTATCCTAGACATTCTTATTAGTTTCCAATACACTCAACTATTGAAGACGCTCAATCATAGTGAGGATTAATTGGAAAGAGTTGCGCATTCAAATAACAATAATGTATAATTTATAGATCGTCATGATGATAATGCTAGCTAGATTAATCATTCTGAAAGAAATGTCTCTGGAAATTGTGTTCTAGCAATGTTGTTCATACTTAATAATATATGCTGTTACGTCTATCTACTAGAGACAATATGGAAGGACATCATAGTAAAAAAATTGAAAATCATAATATAGTCCGAATCAAATCTAACAGAGAATTGTTTACAAAGCAAACCTGCTAATATTTATTCAAAACTAATGAGATGTATTTAATTTGATGATAAATGATGAGTATTAACGTTACAAGTAGGAGTAGGTTAGAATGATTAGATGAAAAAAGTAGTCTAAGCATCGTCATTTTAAATGTATTTTGTTGAGAGAAGCAGACGACAACGAACTGTGGGAAAATACTGAAATTGTGTATCTCTCAGTAAATGCGCATTTTTAAATAAAATATGGAAAGGCTTGTTGAAACAAATATGATACGCTATAGACTCACTTCAAATTCATAAATGACATTAATAGAATTTTCTAGCAAATATAGTATGAATTGACGATCATCTTTGAGGACATTTTATAATAATCAGTTATAAATATTATAACCAATATATTCACTACAACTTCAGGCCATCGATTTGATACTTTACAAGCATAAATATCTCTTTGATTGATTCTTCGGGATAACTCTAATGATCATTAGAGTTATCAACAAATAGGTACTAAGCGTTAAATGAAACAAAATTTCTTTTCACCTTCCTATTTCTTATAGGGTTTGGTGGAAAAGGCAGTAAGGGAAAACATCGAAAAGGAAAACGTCGAAAAAAAAAAGGAAAATGCCGAAAAGGAAAACATAGAAGAGGAAAAGGCAGAAATTTTAAACGTCGGAAGAAAAAATTAGAAAAAGGAAAACGTCGAAAGGTAAATGTCGAAAATTGCGTTTTTTAATAATTTTAACGAAAAATAAAAATTAATTCGATCCCAGGTTGACTGATCCGACATCGGATCCGATAAAATCCTATTGGATTCCAGTCGGATCGGATGGGTTCCGATAGGTGCCTACTGTCGGATTTCTCGCCCTGGGATCATATGATAAAATACAATAAAAAAAAAGAAAACTAAGTTTATCAGTAGTATTTTTTTTTGTGTGATCCAAGTAGTAATGCTAATCTCTTCAATAATTGCTTTGCACTGATTGCCAAATCAAAAGAAAAAATTTCCGTTATCTATAGACATCTTTTTCATTCTACGTTTTCCTTTTCAAAATTCTTCTACTTTTTTTCTCTGCCAGTTTTTCTTCGACACTGTTATTAATTATACTTTTTCCATTCGGCGTTTTTCCTTTCTGCCTTTTCCGCCAATTCCTTCTTATATTTACGAAAAGCAACACGCTATATCTGTCATCATTTCTACATGAGCAAAATGAGTTGTTTGAGTAAGAAGCGCTAACTATGCTATTGTCGCCACTTACCAATGAAAACCCGTTCAATTACAAGTTCTATCATTGCCCCCGAATGCCAATATTATATCAATGAAAAGCGGTTGGCTCATATTTGCATCAAATACTCTTGCTATTGTGATCGACATAAGACATGCACGCAAAGTTCATTTTCATTCTCTTTTCTCAATAGGATTAGTATGACTCGAGAAATTCCAACAGAAGAGGCAACTGTGCTTGATTATATGAATCAAAATATTGGTAATATTATTTTGAATTGGACACAACGACCTCATCCTCTTTCAAATTCACTGTACCATAGACTTCAAGGTCAGTATTGTCAGCTTGAATTACTCAACACAAAAGCAGATAATACTATCATCGAACAACTCTATCATGCATTTAAATCCAACGAAGAAACTCATTTTAAATATTTAAAATATGGTCCATTTAAAACAGTCGATGAATTCAAGCAACTCATAGCTACCAAAGAAAAGCCGAGTAGTGATACTGTATTATATACGATATTCGTCCATGATATAGCAGTAGGGTTTATTAGTTATATAAGAATAAATCAAGATCATGGTACTATCGAAATTGGAAATGTAAATTTCAGTCAGGATTTAGTAAGAACTCGGCAAGCCACTGAAGCAATGTTTTTACTAATACAATTTGCATTCGATACACTTGGCTACAGACGAATAGAATGGAAATGTAATGCTTTCAATATTAAATCACGGCATGCAGCAATTCGATTAGGTTTTCAATATGAAGGTACATGGTTGAAAGCAGAAATTTGTAAAAATCGATCAAGAGACAATGCATGGTTTAGTATTGTAGATGATGAATGGCCACCAATAAAAGAAGAATTGCAACGATGGTTAAATTCAAATAACTTTGATTTGCATGGACAACAATTAACTAAATTAAATGCCAGTCAAGTCAATCCACGTCATAGTAAAATTATCGATCTCAACTAAGAAACGAATAGACTTGAATGAATTATATTTTTTAGTTCTATTTTAATCTATTGTTAGAGATGAAATAAAAATCTATTTGATTGTAATTTCCAAATAAATGTATGTTTTATTTTAAAATGTGGGCTCATTTTGTTGCATGAATTCTGGTAATATATGAATTTACATAGTTATCAGTTCGTTAACCATATGAATCAATTCATTATAATTTGTATCAAAACGAGTTCATTGAATACTAGAATAAAAAAGATGACATCAGTTATATGTATCTACAGCAAGGAAATATTATGTGTTTAAATAGTGTTCTATCAAGGATGAGTCTGCCATTTTTATATCAATGTAGTAACAATAGAAAATAATTTCGAATTTGACTATACTATTTTTATGAATTCTAGAATTCTTAGATAAAGTATCTGGATGAATACGATATGAAGAAAAAGCTAAATCTTGTATTGGTTACTTCATTAAAATCGTTATTTCTACCTTGGAGCATACGTACTTTGAATAGCTTATTAACATATTGCCTACCATCACCACATACACATGTCTTTTTTCTGTTCGTCTTATATTATCATCTGTTTTATCTATCGCTGCTTTTATGTGTCCATGACTGAGCAATCAGAGTCATTGATTCAAATAATTAACTGAGTACAGGATAGGAATAAGGGCAGCTGCAGTCAGTTGTTACAATTACTATAGATATTCTATAGCTTATATTTTAATCGAAATATTTCCAATCAGGACGAAATAATTCTTGTTGTGTAAGTAGCGGTCTCTTAATCATAAATACTAATTTGTTGTTTTGTTGATTTTATTTTAATCAGTTTAACGTTTATTCGTTAATTAATGTCTCCAGTTAGAATATTTCAGTTTGAATTGCTTAGCAGAAAATGTTCAACAAGTATAGCTATTGAAATAGACTCCACCGTATTGACAATCAAGTGATTGCAATTATAATGGTGCTCGTTTTATTGATATTCAATAAAGTTAGAATTTCATGTAAATGATAAAGTTCTGATCTAGTTTCTATTGGCATAGAAACGATCAAATTAAAATATAATAATTTCCAGCATATTTATCAATAGGATATAAAAATTGAGAAACAAATAAAAATCTCCTTTTGATTATCTCTAATTTTGCTTGATTCCAAGCATGTTCAATAATATCAGTTTTTCTCTTTAGTCGTAGCTAAATCAAATCTGACACCAGCGTATCGATTGAATCTCTGAACTTTGGTCGACAGTAAAAATGTCGACCGTAAAAATGTCGACAGTAAAATGTCGAAAAAACGAAAAAGTAAAAATATCGAAAACTGAGTAGGTATTCATGAAAAATGTCGTGTTCAGAATTGATTCATTATTAAAAGAGGTTGTCCCTTATTCGAAGTAATGAAATTTAAATCACTGTTGATGTTGCGTGCCGATTCCGTGGCGGCTTCCATATGTATATTTATCACTCGAATAATGAATAATTGAAGAATAATTGTCTTATTCTTTTCTATTACATTGTACTAAGTGACCAATGTCTGATAGACCAATGATAGATCTAAACGAACATAAGTCGCCATCCATCCTACAAGTAGTGACGGATTCAGAAAATCTGTTAGGGGGTAGCGCTCCTGCCCAAAAAACGGTTTTTCAAGTCTAGTTGAGACAGAACGACTATTTTCTGTTTCATATCTACTGGAGAAAATCGAAAAAGTTTCTTAAGGGGGTGGCGATAGCCGGGTAGCCTAACTGGTAGATCCGCCACTGCCTACAATAATAACATATTCATCGAATATCTTTTAAAACACTCCTTCTTTTAGATTTTTTAATTTTATTTTTATAAATTTCTTTCGACATTTTGCACTTTCGATATTTTTAACTGTCGACATTTTTACTGTCGACCAAAGTTGAGTTTACCTATCGATTGACCATGATTACGCCGCAAAATTAAAAACAATAGTTAACCACAACTCATAGCTGGTTCAATTATTACAAATATATATATATATATTGAGCGTAGTTATATGGTGTGGTGTTTTAAGAATTATCATACTCGCATGGGATTGCACGTTCTTGCACAGACTAACTATTCAAAAGATTTTTACAAGAATTTCTGTTAATATCTTGTATGATTATGTTTGCCGCAAAATTACTACAACACTTCTTTTACTTCTATTCTATCCATCGAAAAGAATTCAATTAATAATTGAAAAATACTTCAATCCTGAATAGTAAATAACCACTTTAGCAGCTTTATGAAGTTGCTACTGAAGTATCATGCTAAGTATTATGTACAATTGTGATACTCACTATATTTCATGGGTTACGTTCGCAGTCACCTCATTGCTCGTAGCATGTTATCTCATTAGTATCGTACGAACTTGCTACTATCATATGAGGCTTATCTCAATACCTTCAATGATGTCATCACTACGTTCTTACTCATGACTATATAGAGAACTAGAATGTGCTACATGGAGGATTCTTTATATTGAAACAAATTATAGCTCATTTTATGCGGGATCTTACTATTAAAAATCATCACAAACTGTATCCATGAACAATGATTATGTTGTAAAATTAAAAAGATAACTGACCTCAACTCATAGTTTCTATTACAACAAATGCACATTGAGCTGAATTGTATGGTGTGATGTTAACCCTTTACCCCCCAATGTCCACTTCAGTGGACATTGGGGGGTAAAGGGTTGCGAAAAGTTAAGAAAGCATCTGATTGGGAAACTCTAAGAACATTTTTTGTAATAAACTTCAAGGGCTACCCATCGGTAAAAAGAACGTTTTTTCTCGATGCGTTCGTCCGGAGATATGTGACTTCTATGATCGACGATTTCGCACAATAACTATTGTTTTGTAAAAGTAGTTTTCTATTTCTAAGCAATAAATCTTCCGACGATCTACTGCTTGATACGTGTAGAACAAGGTGTCCACTAGTGATATGTTCGGTTTCCAGATGTT